AATACTGCTTTAGAAATTATTCCTTTGACTTTGCAGCTGTTCCTCTTCGTTTCCTGGGACGCCCCAAACCTGTTCTTCGGTTTCCATTTGGACTTGGCGGCACAAAAATTTCATTTGCCTTCCTTGGAGGCGGGGGGAGGACTTTGTCTTGATTACTAGCCCGGAAGAGGTGCCAATGGTGTGTCCTTTTTGTTTCCTTCCAAGGCCCAATACTCCCACCACGTGATACAGGAGATCCTGGCACACCTGGACAGCTGCAAGCGAGACTCGCCCCGCGTTCGAGCTGGGATCATCCAAGTCCTGCTGGAGGCGGTGGCCATCGCGGCCAAGGGATCCATCGGTGAGTCCAGTCAGCTCTGCCTGGCGTGCAGTTTTGGGAGAGGGACACAAAGGGCTGGGGTTCTGACCCAGATCCCCAAACACTACAGACCCTCTGATGTGAACTCAAAAAAGATTCCTTTAATTAGGAGCCCTGGCAAAAAGTTTCTCTCTCACCGCAGGCTAATAAACCTGTCCAGCAGGGAGATGAAGAGTTATCTGCCACATCTATTCATCTCCACCCCCTGCCTTGCATCCCCAGAGCTAGGGTGGGGCTTCGCTAGCAGCGGTGGCTCTTCCGTCCCGAGGACCGGCCCATAGATTTCCACTGCTCTCCTCTCCTCGGCGAAAAGTTTCTCTCTCAACGCAGGCTAACAAGTTTGTCCATCCGGAAGATGAGTAGTTGTCTGCCACATCTATTCATCTCCACCTTTTGTCCCCAGAGCTAGAATGGGGCTTCACTAGCAGCCGTGGCTCTTCCGTCCTGAGGACTGGCCCCTAGATTTCCACTGCTCTCCTCTCCTCGGCGAAAAGTTTCTCTCTCACCGCAGGCTAACAAGACTGTCTGGCTGGAAGATGAATAGCTGTCTGACACATCTATTCATCTCCGCCCCCTGCCTTTTATCCCCAGAGCTAGGGTGGGGCTTCACTAGCAGCCGTGGCTCTTGCGTCCCGAGGACCGGCCCATAGATTTCCACTGCCCTCCTCTCCTCTGCCTTCTGTGCATCCGAGCGTCAGGCACTGGACCCGGCTGTTCCTTCTCTTCCTCATCAGCCTGGAGGCTGTAGACTCTCCATCTAAGGGCTGATGGACGGTCCAGGCCCCACCTCTGTCTCTCTCTCTCTTTCTCTCTCTCTGCCAGCTCCATTCCCTCTTCCCCCTCGGAGCTCTCAGGTGGCCTTGATGTTGATCCTGACTCCCACGCCTCCTCCTCCTCCTCCTCCTCCTCCTCCTCTGATTCGGCTGCTGGAGAGACTGGTGGCCCACAGGCTACAACAGCTGGCTGGTTGTTAGGAATGTGCCCTTGGATATGTGGCTTCCTCCTGTGGATAGGTAGTCCTTGACTTACAACCATTCATTTAGTGGCTGTTCGACTGTTCAGTTACAACAGCATTGAAAAAAGGGACTTAGGACCGCTTTTTACATTTGCAACTGTTGTTGCGTGGTCCCCCTGGTCCCATGAACAAAATTCAGGCACTTGAGAGTCCGGGGATCATGTGATCACCATGTGCGACTTCCTGACAAGCAGAGTCAATGGGGAGAGTTGGATTTCACCTAACAACCAGGTTAAATCACAACTGGGGCAAGAATAGAAGAGAGAATAGAATAGAATAGAATAGAATAGAATAGAGAATAATAGAATAGAATAGAATAGAATAGAATAGAATAGAATAGAATAGAA